CCCCAGATATCTGTGTTTTTTTCAGAAAACCGGCACAACCTAATCCCCGTGCGTGCCGGATAACACAGGTTTTACTGTACTTTGCATTTGTCCTAATTGAAATTTCATCGTATTTATTTTAGACTATTTCTCGAGTTTGTCAACATCATTTTGAATTCCAACCCTGTTGTCCAAAGCACTTGCAATTCCTTCCAGGTTGGTAACATAAGAACCTAAGAACAGCCATATCGGGTCAGACCAACGGTCCATCATTATCTGTTCGATTCACTCCCTCTGGGGCACCTGGCATTGGCCACTGTTGGCAGACAGGATACTGGGCTGGATGGACCTTTGGTCTGACCCAGTCTGGCCATTCTTATGTTCTTATGACTGTGAACCATTGATAACCACACTCTAAGTAGTAGGAAAGAGATTAAGGCAGGCATATAAAGCAGCAATAAACTTCCTGGCTTTCCCCATAAAATTGAGTCACAGCAAGTCTTAATTGAGAACCTTGCAACTAAGTCAGGTACCATGTATTATAAACAAATTGTATCTAATTAAAGAGCACTGTACATAATTACCAGCAGCACTTTAAATTATTAACATTCAAACAATTTGAGAAAAAGATTTTCAATATACATCATACATTCACAAGGTTCTCCAATTAAAAAAGAATTAAGATTGGAAGCTCTCTGGGACAAGAACCATCATTTACTCTGTCCAGTATAATAGGGCCTCATACCCAATGTGCCCTCTAGTCTTTTCCATCCATGTGTGGAATAAATTTTATGTGCACTGAGGGATATGTGAATGTGCACCACAGTAGAAACAAAAAACCTAGCTGTGAGTGCTTTGCTCATCAGCTGGGCGGTATATGAATTTCTCTTGAGTGACCCCCAAAGAGCTCTGCTTGCAGGGAACAAAAAAACTGATCGTACCTACCGCAGCCTCAGGCGTGCCCATGACACACTCCACTTCACTTCCCAGCGCAGAAGTTTGGGGTTATGAATACTTTAGGGAAATTTTTATTTGGACTAGGGATTTAAAATTCTGCTTAATTAGTTAACCAGTTAAATGTTATGTGTAACCAGTTAACTGATTAAACAAGGTTGGGGTGGGGGAAGAAGAGTGAGGGGGGATTTGATAGCAGCCTTCGACTTCCTGAAGGGAGGTTCCAAAGAGGATGGAGAGAGGCTGTTCTCAGTAGTGAGGGATGGATGGCAGAACAAGGAGCAATGGTCTCAAGTTACAGTGGGGGAGGTCTAGGTTGGAGATTAGGAAAAACTATTTCCCTAGGAGGGTGAGGAAGCACTGGAATGGATTTCCTAGGGAGGTGGTGGAATCTCCATCCCTAGAGGTTTTTAAGTCCCGGCTTGACAAAGCCCTGGTTGATTTAGTTGGGATTGGTCCTGCCTTGAGCAGGGGGCTGGACTTGATGACCTCCTGAGGTCTCTTCCAGCTCTATAATTCTATGGGGGGAGCAGCCACCACAGCCAGGCAAAGTGGTCTCTGTGCTGCAGATCAGGCTATTCCAGCTCAGCTGCTTCGGACCCCATGCTGGGCTTCTGCCTCCCTGCCCAAGCAGGCTGGGAGTTGGCAGCCTCGCACAGGGCAGAAGGGAGCTGGCAGCCTCCCTCTCCCATCTCCCTACTTCCCCCATGCAAGGCTACCATCTCCCAGGCCATAAGCCTCCATGGGTTGGGAGCCAGCAACCCTTTCCCACCCCACTGCTGCTTCCACATACCCCAGCAAGGCTGCCAACTCGGCCACAGGTGGGGGGCTGCTCCCAGGTAACGTTAACCATTATCCAGTAAGCGTCACCCATTAATGGTGAAGCTCACTGGGTAACCGGTTATCCATCCACATCCCTAATTGAGACATGTCAGTTTCTTGTGGAATCCACAGAGACTACAAATACTTGATTATATCTATCTAACATGACTCCACCACGACAGTATCTGAGCACCTCACAATCTCCAGGGTAATTATCCTTGAAACACTCCTATGAAGCTGAGCAGTGCTATTTACTCCATTTTTACAGTTGGGGATACTGAGGCAGGGCAAGCAGGTGATTAGCCCAAGGTTACATAGGAAGTCTGTGGCAGAGCTGGGAAATTGAATTCAGAACTCTCAAGTCCTAGGCTAGGGCCCTCACCACTGTCCTTCTCTGCTACACACATCTAAAATATGATCAAGCCGGAGTCTATCACTATCCCAGTCTCAGCAACAGCTGTGGCACTAAACTCTAGGGATGTAATTTTTTTTTAAAATTATTAACCGTAAAATTGGGGCTGCTGTGGGGACACCAGGGTTCTGCGGCTCCCAGCAGCACTATGAAGAGTACCAATATGTAACCAATGTAAGCAATGCAGCTCTTGCGCATGCGCAGTGCGGGGCTGGCGAGCGGCATTCGCTGCCGTTTTCAAGCCCTGTCTATGAGCCTCCCCCACCCCAGGCAGAGGAGGAATAAGCTACAGCTCTGCCCTGGGAGGAAGAGGAGAAGGGGGGGGGGGGGGCGTGGGGCACTGTCCCAAGCAGTGGCACTTAGACCACTTTTGGAGAGAAAGAATGAGTACGCGCTACACGCTTAGCGACAGCCAGTTGCCTTTGAGCTCAAGCTATGTCGAGACTCATGCACTAAGCTCCAGAAATCCCAGGTTTGGTTCTGCATGTCGGCGTTACAAGTGCGGAAACAGGGCTGTCATCCCACGAGCACCTCACAAGTGGGGAGGGGGAATGAAAAGCTCCTCCTGTCAGGCGAATGGGCTATGGCGTGTGCCCTGGGAGACAAAAAAAGGTGGGAAAGCCCAGCTGACGGGGTGTAGCAAACTCCCCCCTTCCCCTGCCCTCGAGTGTGTGTGTGGGGGGGGTGGGGGTGTCCAGGACAGTTGTTCCTTGTAAGAAAGCTAAGTGCTTGGGTGACCAGGCAGGAGCGCTTCAAATGCCACCCAGCTGATTAGCAAAGCGCCCACAGAGGGCATCACGTGTTACTGCGGGTGGTGCACATCCGCCCGTGCCCTGGTGCAGGTAAGATTTATTCCGCACACAGATGTAAAGAGACAGCAGGAGCACTGCTCCGGGGCCCTCCAGCGGGGGAAGGCGGGGGCAGAGGGAAGGGTCTTTCACCGATGAGGACGGCGCTGTCCAGGCTCCGGAGCTGGCGGAGCAGCTGCCCCCGCGCCTGGAAGATGGGCAGGCCCCTGCTCTGGGTCTCCCCGGCGGGCGGCGGCC